TACCGTACTAAGCCTTAAGAGGGCGTATATTTATATAGCTAGTCGGCTCTTTATATTTTTAGCGTATCGCCGGAAGTCGAGTTTCCTATTAAGCTAAACGCCTAAGAGCCTTATTGCCTCCACTACCGGTACCGGAGTAATACTAAGGGGGAGCGGGGTAAAAAAGGGTTAGCCTGACTTCTTAAAGGGGATATAAACGTATTTAATTAGTTTAAACTATAGTCCGCTCGCTATCTCCTAGTCTAGGTAAGCACGCTACGCGGTAGTAAGATAATACCACGTCTATACCTTTATCCTGCTAAAGGCGATAATATTCGTGTTATTAGCGAATCTTACTATTATCGTTTTAAGGACCCTTTCTAGCTCCTTATAAAGGGTAAAGATATAAAGGATAAAAAGGATAGGGGAGATCGGGGAGCCCTATAGTATACTCCTATAGAGGTACTATAAAAGGGCCATTTAGCTATCGAGTAATAGCTAGGCTATACGGTCCTAGAGGAAGCTATTAATTAGGGTAATAAGCTATTAGGGGAATCCTTTCCTTTCGAGTACTTTAAGGAGGCGGGAGTAAGGGATAGTATTAAAGGCGTCTTTAATATCTAGTTAGAGTATCGACGTAGTGCCCCTATAGGCTTAGCTCGTCTTTACAGTCTCCGTGACTCTTTATACTACTATCTTTATACTCCGCCCGGTCCGATTACCTATCTATCCTTCTAGGAGGAGCTAATACTCCTCCGCGACTACGGCGATATAATTGGCTAGTATCCCCTTAAAGACCTTACCTATCGTGTTAAGGAGTAATATCGGTTACTAGCCTTTTACTATCTTATAATCGGCCGGCGGCCGGCCTTCTTTCTTAAGGACTATTATAGTAGTATAGCGGTACCTCTTCGCGTAATAACCCGTTTCGAGGTATACTATAAAGATAGCGCTTACTCTTTAGTATAGGGGAGGTTTATATACTTTAAGAAGCCCTACTAAGAGCCTATTCGGTCTTAGTACCGCCTAGGGTTTAGTTTTCTTAAAGCGCCCCTATATATCCGCAATAGTAACGTCGTGGTGGATATCCTATTTAGGGGGAAATTCCGCGCTTAGGGGCCTAAGGGTAGTAGGGAGGGGGGGTAGGAAGAACTTCTGGTCAAGGACTTCGGCTTTCTCCGCGTATATAGTAGCTAGGTTATCATTATTATCTTAGCGTAGTAGCGGTACTAATAAGAGGTCTAGCGGTATACCCCCTTTTATTCGTGCCTATTTCTATAATCGTTAAAGGAGGTTATCGATCTTCCTAGTTTTATATAATAGGTGCTACTAGTATAGCCGTTTCGCTACCGTTATAGCCTTATCGTGGCGCCTCTCCGCTTTCTAGAACTTATCCTATCGGTTCCGGGACTTTCTGGATATATATCTATAGTAAAGACGCCTTATTTCCTAGGTAAGGGCGGTTAGCTCCGCGTTTTACTAAGGGGTGGGTAGGAGTCTAGGAGTACCCCCGCGGAGGCGCTATATAGTCTTATCAGCTATAGTTATAAAGTCCCCGATTAGGTTATCTAGTACTAAGTCGATATCTCCTAGTATTATAAAGGGGCCGGTCTATTATAGTTCTATAGCTACGAGCTAGGGGACCTATAAGGGATTAAAGTCCTTTTAGACCTAGCGAGGCCCGCCTAGGTCCCGTAGTAGTATTATCGTGGTGCTTAGTATAGTATCTATCTCTGTATAGATTTAGGCCGTCTATAAGTAGTAGTCCGACCCGATAACGGTCTTATTAGGGCCGCCGAAGTCGTAGCGGAGCCCCTATATTACCTATATAAGGTTAATAGTACTAGCACGCCGGCCTAGGCAGTGCTACATAGTAGTCCCGGAGGGGGTTATTAGGTCTAGGTTTTACCAGGTTATAAGGGTAAAGAGGATATAGGCCCGGGGGTAGTAACGCGGTAGTTATAACTATAAAGGGTAGTATAGGTTAAAGTCCTTTATAACGGTATAGTAGCCTTATAATAGTGCTATATCGAATATATCTTATAGGAGTATATTCTAGGAGATCCTAACTAACTAGTAGTTCTCTAAGTAGATTAATTAGATTATAAGGGCATTATATCTAGTTCTAAATATAACCATATAGGTATTATAGTAGGCCCGCCACGTCTACGTATATACCGGGTATCTTTTATATATATATAGGAGGGCGCGGCCCCTTCTTAGATTAGCTAGTATATGCCTTAGAAGAGGTAGGTAAAGCTTTTTATAAAGGGGTTAAGACCGGGTTCCTGGATTATTATTATATTATACTCGGCGCGGCACTAAAGCGGGAGCTCCTGCTACGCCTAACTCCTCCCTATATTCTACGAAAGGATATAGATTCTTATTAGTTAGTAGGGGGGAGGGGGGTTAAGATAGCATGCCTAGTATAACCGGGGTCTAGTTCTAGCTTTATAGCTCCTATTATAGTATTTTACTAGCTCCGCGGGGGATTATGTAGGCGCTTATTAGGCCCGGTATTAGGGAGCCCTCCTATTCTTTAGTCCTTTTTAGGGGGCGTCCCCGGCTCCTATAAAGGGGCTATTCCTAGTCCTAGGCGATAATAATTAGGGGAAAGATCTACGGCTATTATAGGTATACCGCTTTAGTCTAATAGATAATATCGAAGTCTTTAGCTTAGTACTTATATACTTTTTAAGTCTTCTCGGCCTTTTTCCTTAATAATTAGTATAAGTTATTAAAGGTATTATAGTCTCTGGCGTAGGGGATATAGCGGCGGGAGTAGCCGGGCGTTATAGTATTATAGTATCCTAGCCCTTATAGGTACGCTGATTTAGGCTTAGCGTAATAGTAGTATATCCTTGTTATTATAGGGTAGCTATTAGCCTTATAGCCGAAGTATAGGTATTTATAGCACTTTAGGGGGCTAAGGTTAGGATTATATAGTTCGTAAATATAGCTACCCCCTTCGAAAAGGAGGGTATTCCGGATAAGGCTTATTACCCTTTCTAGTAAAGCTAATTTAATAAGGAGAAGCGCTACCCTACTAATACCACGGCGGGGTATTTATTATTATACTTAGAGAATTTTAGCCTCGGGGTTTATATCTTATAGGGATACTAGTAAGTCCTCCTCGGATAGGGTATTAAGGACCTCCGGGGGGATAGCCTTAGTAAGTGTAGGGTAAGTTTATACGGCTAGGGTAACTCCTTTACTAACGGCCTTCTTAACCTATTATTCCTTATAGGTAGTTTATTATTATACCCTTTCGGTAAAGGTAAGGTAAATATCTTTACTAAGTAGCTTCCGTGCTATTAGCGTTATATCGGGTAATTATAGCGTTTATAGCTTAAATAATTTCTTTTAGGGTCCTAGCTCTAAGGGGCTAGTCTTCGGGGAGGGTTCCTTAATAGACTATTAGTTCCCGGTAATACCTAGCGGGGATTACTTTAAGGGGGGCAGGGTCCCGCGGCGGCGCCGCTATAAGTACTTAGGCTATAATATTAGCCTAAGTCTTTTTTATATTACTTCTTCTTTTTCGGAGTTCTTCACGGATAATATAGCGGACGGATACGTATAAGTATATTAGCGGTAGCGTACCGGCGTTATTACGGGTATTATATATCGTGATTAGTTCCTTTACTAGCTCTATAACCTATTTAATCGTGTTTCTATTAGCTAGTAAGGCCTAAATTTCTACCTTAATCTTAGCTACTCTCGGATCCGGGGGGCGTAATAATCCCCTTTTAGTCTTATATTGGTTCCGCGCTATATCCTGCCTTAGGAGGGGGGCGGAGTGTTTATATTACGAAAAGTGGGTCCGTTACGAATTCTGTATAGTCGAGGTTACTGTTTATATACGGGGGTAGGTTAGGGTTATACACGGGTTCTATTATAGTCGTGGTCTAAGGAACGGGGACGGTAATAGGGGTAGAGGTAGTAGTAGAGGTAGTGCTAGCGATAGGAGCAGGTATAGGGGCAGGAATAGGTGCCGGTGCGGTGGTAGAGGTAGGAGTAGTATTAGTTCCCGGCGTGTTCCCTTTATATTCCTTATTAGCGGGGTCGTTATCTATAAAGGCGGTCTCGCTATCACGAAGCTATCGCTTAAACTAACTAGTAGCCTTATTAAAATCAAAGGTAGGATCGTTTATTTCGTGATAGTTAGATATCTTAGTAACTCTCCTTAACGGTCTTCGCGCCCTTAAAGGTTAGAGCGATTAAAATATTAAATAGGTAGTCGTAAAGAGTAAAAAGGTAGGGTTAAGTAAGGAACTAGGTAGAATTATAATAGGATTACGATAAGGAAAGTATAGAGGCAGCTAAAGAATTAGATTAATCGCTAGCCTCCCTTTTCTAAGGGGAGGCTCCCTCGCTCCTTAAGACTACGCTCTACTCCTTAAGGACTACGTATTTACTTCCTCGAGGGCTGCTTTATTTACTTCGAGGGATTATTCTGTTTACTATATAATGACTTGCCTTATTTATGCCTTAAGGGGTCTTAGACTAGGCATACCTAGACTCCTATAGATTCACACTAGGGGACCTATTATAACCACTGCTATAGGCACCTAATACCTAGGTAGGCGTGATAGATATACGGGAACGGCTATAGTAAAAATAGCTAGAGGAAGTCTGGATAGAATATTTAGAGGACGTAGAGGATAAATTTTAGGGCGGTTATAGCGAAGAGATTACATAGCCGGTATACCTATTATATCTACTAGTTATGAATAGCTTTAATCGCCTAACTAACGTTTAGGGCTATTAGAGGGTGTGTTGAATAGACTATGGCCTGTTCGTGGTTTTTACGGTTACGTAATAGGCCGGATTACCGAGATTATAATCCGGGTAGACACCTGCAGAATCTTCACCACTAATATTACGGTGGCAGGAATTCTCTAACGGTCGGACAGAGTTATAAAACACACATAACTAAATCAATTTTGACCGTTTTTGTGACGATTTTGACTACGCTTTATCTGACACCCCGCTGGATATCAAATATCGTCATCAGAACCAAAATGCAGGATCGAACCTATGAACATCTCGCTGCTCTTGTAGTCACCAATCTTGTCCATCAGCATGGCTGGACTGAGATTAAATCACATCCGGTCGGCGGCGAAGACTGCACCGCACCTCGGAGACTGATCATCACCGGCCTCCCCCAACGAAGACTTTACATCCACCCCGACGAGCAGGTCGAGGCGCTGGAGGACGGATATGCATCCGAGCATCAACATATACAGGAACCCGAGTTCGAATGGGTTCTTCCTCTCCACATCACAGAGTCGGTAACGTTGGGCACATTCTCAACATTGTTCGACTCTATCAGCGTTCTGCCTCGTCCTGTCGAGTCACATGCCCACCAAGCAAGCCATGGCGATACGCGTGACTGGAGATGCTCAGCACGTCACAAAAGATGCCTGATTGCTCTACTGCACGATGACTCCACCGTGTCGTACTACCTAATGCATGACGGCATTGTTAAACCACGGCAGAACTAAAGACACTTTCATGACCAAGAATTGTGAGCAAAACCAAAGTCACCAACCTGTATCCCAGAATACCTGCCCCAGAGCGAAAGCTACTCGGAGCGGCTTTCATCATGGACATATGCCATATCGAGTGACCCAGTGAACCTAGGGGGTGAAAATCACCTTCTGGGCCTTCATCTCGTTGAACATCTGGTATCCCTCGACAGCACTGGAAAGCGGCATGATCCTATCGAACATGAAGCTATTGGGCGGTGTTAGGTCTTGGAAATGAACCGTGTTCTTAGTGTTGTCGACAAGAGAGGTTAAAGAGTCTCAGAATCGGGGCTGACCTCAGGGCATCTTGCTTGGTTTCCAGCAGGGCAAGTGACGCGGAGAATATAGACCGTACAGGGCAACGACCCATCTGCAGACGAAGGTTTTTTCTTCAACACCATGTGTCAGCCCGAACAATGGCAAGCAAGCCATTGGTAATGTTCTGCTCACCCATATGCCTCTGCAGCAGTGAATGGTATCTACGGCCTCGGTTAGTTTATCCATGAAGTCGGAGCGAGCGACTGCACCTGCCTCTCCATTATGGACCCCGATGCTATACAGCACGCCGAATGGTCTCACGAGTTCGAAAGCAGTACGCAAGGCCTGGCTGGAGCCGACCACTTCAATAACTATATCTGCACCGCGACCATCGGTCACGTCTTTGATGTGTGACTCTAGACGTGACCCCTCAACCTGGAAATTGAGTCCTCTGGCGCCAAGTGTCTCGGCTAGGTCGAGGCGACTTTGTACACTGTCAATTGCGAAGAGTTGTCGAGGGCCAAACTCAAGAGCTGATATAATGGCGCACAATCCAACTGGCCCGCATCCGATGACAGCCACTGTGGGTGGGTGCGACTTCTCGGTTTCTTCGAGCATGCGAAACGCTGTGGCTGCCCCGAAATACCCAGTTGGCCAGATATCGGCCATCAAGATAAGGGCGGCATCCGAGAGAGAAAGGAGAGCCTTGACGACAGTCCCATCGGTCCAAGGAACTCGCACATACTCTGCTTGCGCTCCATCCAACGTCGACGACCCGAAAAGAACGCTGTGCACACACCGAGACGACTGACCATTCCGGCAAAAGAAGCACTCGGAACTGGAGATGCAAAGCCCTGGTTAATACGTATCCGGGTTATTCTCCCAGTCCGTACGTACCAGGAAACCGTGAATGGGGCAATGATCTTGTCGCCAATTTGGACCGATTGGACGCTCCGTCCCTTTTCCACCACCGTGCCTGTGAACTCGTGCCCCATGATGAAGTCAGATCCTCCAGCCTCGTGTCCCCGGAATAAGTGCAACTCGCTAGGTGGAGAAAAGCAGTCAGTTTAAGACGTCATGGATAAGGGATGCATGGGAAAATCGGGTTGTCGAACGAGCCACAGAGACCAGCGGCATCTACTTTGACGATAACATCCCGCTTATCTTGAACTACAGCAGCCATCAGTAGATGCGTGAGGATGAATGTAACTACAGGGACACACTGACTGGTAGGGATCGGCCTTCTTTGTAAAGAAACCTTTCCCGGACTATCAAAGACAACAGCTAACATCGTGGACGGAGGAGGCGAGGACATGTTGACTCAACGAGAGGGAACGAGAGTCGACTCGAAGAGTCTGCACATGGGATCAGAAGCGGCAAGGGAATCTTTTTCAGGCCGATAGTTATATATGCGCTTATTACGTAGTATACGAATGCTTTCACCTCTTGTCTTGTCGGGAAATAAGTGTGGGTGGATTAACATGAGAAGACCCTCAGCCCGAAGTGCAGAATAATGTCGGACAGGCCGTAAGATTGACGGTCACGTTGTCGCACGTCACATAGCACTTGGATGATCAACTTAGTAGAGCAGAAATCTCGTGTGTGTATTGTGTTAAGTTACATCTGGGAGAGTCTCTCATGCCCTTAATTAGGGTGGTGAAGACTCTGTTATGGGTACTATATCATTTAGATCCTATCCGGTCTTTTCCGGTATCCGCCCCTGTTATATCCTGATACCCGAGGTCCCCGATATCCGAAGCCCTTAGTTATAGCGTGGATCCCCCCTGGATCCCCTATAGACCACGTTATAGTCCGTGCGCCTATACGATACACTCCCATAGTTAAGGTGGGTCTTCCTAGGTTAACTAACTAATCAGAGGCTTCGGTTTAAACCAAACGCTCTTAACTTTTCTATCGTAACATTAATAGTTAGGGGAAAACGCCCTCGTATAAGGGATCTAAATCCGCCCTATTTAACTGTTTAATTTAAATATATCTTAATTAGTTCCTCGATCCTGATTAGCCGGATCTGCTTAATCGGATCTATATCCATCGGATCTTCTACGCCCTCGGGGGCCTTCGTTACGGCCGCTTTAGCGCGTTTAATCTCTTCGTGTAGTCGTTTAGACTACTTAATACGGTCGTGTTAATCCGTTAAATCAAGCTATTACTATAGTCTTTTAATCCCTGCCTCCGGTAGTGCCTTTATTAAACCGTCCGCGATTATCTCCTTCGTATTAATGTACGTGACCTTAAAAAGGCCCTGCTATACTAACTAATATACCTACTAGTTATAAATATCGATATGACGTAGCCTTATTCGCAGGCGTTATACCTTTTTATTAATAAGGTTAATAGTCTACTAATTATTATAGTATAGCTATAGTTACTATTGGTCTAAGCGAAGCTTTAAATCGCTTAATATCCGGCTAACGAATAACGTCTTTTTAGCGGCCTTTATAAAAGCGAGTAGTTCTGATTCTAGTAACGACGTTATAACTATCGGTTATTTACCCGCCTTCTAGTTAACGTTGCCGCTAAAGAGCTTTATCGTATATCCTTACGAACTCTTACGGTCTGGATTATCCCTAAAGGACACGTCGCTTATAGTTAGGAAGAGTGTATCTTTATTAAATTCTAGGTAGTAGTGCCTTATATAGTATAAGAATAGTAGTATTTATTAAGCTTTGTTAAGGTGGTTAGAGGAGCGGTTAATATTATATTAGGAAAGTTTCGAATAGGCGAACGCGATATCGGGTCTTATTATAATAGCGGCGTATAGGATAGAACCGATTATACCCTAATACTAATAGACCTCGGGAATTATCGCGCGCGTGCAATTATATAGTATTAGCGGTTTTATCGTTAATAATAGGACTTTTAGTAGTCTTCGGCAGAGTGTATCTACGTAGTATTTAACCGTGATCTTCTCCACGTAGGAGGATTATAATAGCTATAACCTACGGGTAGCTCTATCTCTTAGGACCTTAATTCCCAGGAACTAGCGGATTTCTTCGCCTCCTAATAATCTATAGCTTCGCTTAAGGGTAGCCTCGAGGTTATCGGCGTCTATCTTACGGTCTTTATAGTATATAAGTCCGATATCGTTAACGTAGAAGAATAGGATTAAACCGTCGCGGATTATAATATAGGGGTTATTAGGGACGGCTATAAAGCCTATCCTCTATAGTGTGCCGCTAAATTCCTCTTACTATAATAGTAGCGATACCCTTAAACCGAAGAGGGCTTTCCGTAGTAGTAGGACCTTACCTAGTACTTCGTAGCCTTACGGTATCTTTATAAATAGTTCTTCTTTAAGGCTAGCGTTAACGAACGCGTTAACGGTATCGAACTACCTTATTTCCAGATTAAATTATATAGCGATCGCTATTAGTATACGGAAAGACTGCGAGGCTAATATAGCGGCGTAGTTATCTTCCGTTTCTAACCGTTTTTATTGATCCCCTTATACTACGAGGCGTGCCTTATACTTAAGGAGGGTGCCCTCCTTATTAAATTATTATTATTATTTATTACGCTGTTCTCGCTTAGCTAAGCTAGGCTAGCCACCTAAGTAATAGTTCTTCTCTAATTCTCGAGGGGAAACTGTTAAGAGATGAAAACCCCTGCGCTCTTATTATATAAGTAGTTCTATCGTGCGTGGCCGCTACGGTATCGCTCCGCGGCCCCGTTTTTATCGCTATTCGAAAACCGGATCTTACCTCTGGGCTAGTGGCTAATAGGGGTCGGCTAATTAGTTTAGTAAGTGCCGTGTCGGGTCGTACGCGCCCCTAGTACGTTATCGCCACGGTTACTCGCCGCCGTCCTTTCCTTTATTCCGTTATTCCGGATCCGGCGAGGTTCTCCCCTCGCCGCGGCACCCTTTATGCCCTCCCTCCCTTTTATAGGGGGGGGGGGGGGGGGGGCCCCCCCCCCCCCTATTACTCCTTCCTTTATTTATTATTTATTCCTAAACCTCCTTTATATACCTGCTATTTATAGCGGCCCTTATATAGTTATATACCTCCCTTACTCGCGCTGCGTAGGCTCTCGGGGGCAGGCGCTATAGTATAGACCGGGCGTGGCTACTATTCCCTAGAAGGTATAATAACTCGTAAGGCTAATCTGCCGCTCCCTTTTTCCTATAAACCTCCCTCTCTTCTTCTCTTTTTTCCTCCTTTCCTCTTTTCCCCCTTTAAGCTATCGTTTTTTAAGGTAAGCTTTTACGTGGTTGGTACGGTATAAGTACGGCCTTAGAACTCCTATTCGGGATCCCCCGGTACCGTTCGGCTATATAGTAAGGGATTTAACGGGGTCCTGGGTTATACCGTCCCCGCGCCGCCCCCGCTCCGCCCCCGTAACGCCCGCCTCGGTCTAACTCCCCTACCCCTTTAAATACCTAGCAATAAAACCTTTATCGCTAAAGGGGGAGCCGGTGCCGGCGCCTATAAGGGTAAAGGGCCGGCTACCCCTTAGCCTTCTACTATAAGTTCCCCGCTCCGATATCGTCGCGCCCGCTTTACGCCCCCGCTTCGTGCTCTAACCCGGTATAGGCCGCCCTTACCCCTACTATCCGTTTATCGCCTTATACTTTATACGTTATATCTTTAGTACGAGATTATTAGGCTACTCCTTACTAAAACCCCCTTAATATATAGTCCTATCGTGTTCCTATTACTCCCCCGCTCCGTATCGTATCTACTAACCCGACTTAGGAGCCGGCGCCCGCTATATTAAATACGTTAACGGTAACCGTAATAGTAGCTACTATACCCCGGTTTATCCCCGCTACGCCCCCGTTACGCCTTTACTCCGTTAATCCTCCTATTAAGTCCCCCCCCCTATAACGATTCCGCTACCGCCCTTATCGCCGCTACCGCCGCCGCCTTGTCAGAATATGCCGTGCTTATACGTTGCCACAGGACTGGCACCAGACTTATACATAGATAGGGGGATCGTAGTCATGTTAGACCATCAGAGACACGACGCGTCGAGGTTAAGTAAGCTAGTTAGCTTAGAAGTCAGCTTAGATCTAGTAAGCTGGTTAGCTTAGGAACCAGCTTACGCCTGAACTTAGTCCTGAGGAGGCCTCTCGCCACCTATTTAGTTAGAAGACCTTAGTTAGATATAAAGAGGGGAGTGCCTTCTATAGTTCCTAGAGTCTTAGGAGGACTTAACGAATAATCTTATCACGATACCTCCTCTTTAGCTTTTACTAGTCCTTAGGTGATCTTATATCGTCTAGCAGTCGCCTGTTACTCCTCATAGTACACCTATGACACGTCTATACCGCCCTAACGCTATTTATAGGCTTTTCCCTTTTCACCGTTATACCGTATACGCTACGTTATTATTACTAATCCTATCGTAGAATATCCGTAAGTACCGCTAAGCCGTTACCCGCTAGACTTATACCCTCCGGGCGTACCGCGCCGCCCTTCGCCGGGCTAATAGTATTAGTATAGTCGTTACCCCTACCGCTACGCCCCTATAGAGTTATAGTAGTAGCTACGCTTATAACAGCGAGATATTAAAGCTTATCCTCGCCTACCTTATAAGTTACCCCGCGCCTCCCCCGTGTTAACCCCGCCGCTAACGCGTATCGTAGAATATCCCCCTCCCCTTCTTTAAGGACCCTACTACCTTTATTATTAAGGATAAAATCGATAAGGATAAGGTTATCCTAGTAGATAGTAGAGTAATTAGCTCCGATAATAATAATAATAATAAATCCGACGAGTATCTAGGCGATAAGGAGTAAGCGGTTATAGCGCGATTATAGTATAGCCGTATAGCGGCTATTAATAAATATTTTACTCTCCTTTTATTTATTTTCTTCGTAGTTATCTTTACCTCCCCCGTATATATACCCGAGGTTTCCGCGCTATAAGGCCTTTACTACCCCTCCCCCTTTAATACTAGTTATCGTGCGAGTCTAAAGTCCGGAAGGCGTCCGGTTTATAGGAACCACTTCGCGACCTTCCCCGCGGTCTCCTTACTCCGGAGCGCTAGGAGCTAGTCCTATTTTATTAGTAGGCGCGCGCCCGTATCGGCCGCGAGGCGCTTTTATATCTCCTCTAATATATCTTAGTATTATAGCGTAATATATTCTGCTATCTTTAGCCCTCCGTCGGCGTATCGGTAGCGTGGCGTCGCCGTGTCCGGCACGCCTTTTATAAAGAGGAAATAGCGAAGGCCTATTTTCTTTATTCGAATCTAGGTAAGGATAGAACTCTATAGTTTTATAAGGCCCTTATATTTCCTAAGCGCTACGCGGTCGAATTAGGGTATCCACGCTATAGCTATGCTACTATATTAGCGTGGTAAGGTATACTTTTACCGGTATACTTATTCCTCCCGGAGGCGTTAGGCTAATTCCCTCCTAAGGAGCTAGGACTTAACCTCTTACTTCTATACCCCCTAGGACTTTAGGTAAGGCTTAACCCCTCCCCCTTATCTCCTATGCTATATAGCCGCTTCGGCTACTTATCGCACCTAAAGTATCGCTTACTCTAATTAAGTGCCCTTTACCTGTTATACCGCTCGCGCGGTTAGGGA